GATAATGCGCCATGCCACATGAATCTGGGACACGTATGCAAGGAGCAGTCGTACCGTTCGGGCAGCCTCCTATGCCTTCCTGCATACTCCCCACTACTCAACACAGTTTGGAGAATTTGGAGCATCACAAAAGCATACGTGAACAAGCTATGACGCAGCAATATACCGAGTGGCGTCAACGAGATCCTGAGGATGTACTTTACAAGACCGAGTGGAATATGTGTTTCATGGGGAGTATTGTGTCAGAGGCACGAGCCTGCATGACGTCTCAGCACTGCCAGCACATGATAGATCACATGAGGAGGAATTACGCTCATGCAATGCGTCGGACTGCTTTGTTAATTGTTCCCATTTTGTTGATATAAAGGTAGATAATTTGAACTGGTATTGCCCATGCTACGCATCGCAAAGCCATTGATTCGACATGCAGGTATGAAGGATGATGTTCAGGCTAAGTGCTGTCGCAGAGGGTTCCCGCATGTTTCCGCGTTAAGCGTTGCGAGACAACCAGAGGGTATCCGGATGATTCCTGGTAATTAGGACCACATTGCTGCTAATGATGAGAGGTCATGTGTTGTAACCTACTGTAGTGTCGCGAGTTGATGATACGTATTTTGTATTATGAAGAGGAATCCGGTGCACAAAAAAGGAGGAGTCATTCTGCTGATCGTTAGGTTAAGCATTATTGCGGAAACCTTGAAGTTGCATAGTGGCGTTGGTTACATATCGCCGCGTGAGGACAGACACTGTAAGGTGCGCTAAGACAACTCGTCGTATGTAAGTAACTGATCCATCTCTGGACGCGAAATAGATGCTTGTCGCTTATTGTCAGGAATTTCAAAGGGCTATGCGGTCGACTGCGTTCGCTTCAGTGCCTAAGTTGTGCCAATGTATGCGGTGCATCATGAGTCGTCCGCTAATTGATAACGGTGCAGCGTTCAGAGGATACGAAACACGCAAGCGACCAAGGTAGACGTCATCGCGATCGCCTACACATTAACCACACACCACCACTCCAATGCAAGCACCTTATGGCAAGTGCGGTGCTTCACCTTTACTCTGGGCTGGATGTTATAGCGTACTGTGTTCGGCTTACGGTGCACAGATCATTCGCAACATACACGCCTAAAAATAAAAATGTAACAGTCGTATCACGGCATGGGCCAACTCAATAGAGTGCAGCCCATGATGTTTTTCTCTTACCCAAGTGACTAATTTTCAACCCAGAGTTTAGCGGAAAGTTGCGCAGGCCCCTTAGGTCGCTTCGTTCACAAGCACGCTATAACAATTTGTCACCCCAGACCCCGATCATTCGCAGTCATACACCTGTGACTGTCTTAATATCCGGACACACCGAACCTGCCCGAGCGCTGGTAGGTCGTCCTATCAGTGTCATCCCACGACCTTCGTCTTCTGATGTTCTTATTTGGAGTCATAAAGTGGCTTTCATGTATAAATTATGTTCCCGAATTTCCCGCTTCGTACCGAAGATGTAAATTATGGCGAGGGATTAGTGGCAACTTGCTAAACGTATACCAGTTATTATGTAAATAGCTCTTCTGAATCACCATGTCACACTCCATGTTATTGGCACGTTCATTATTTAATCTTTCTCACTTCATTACGGCCATCCTACAGGACATGTCAAGCGTTATCCACTTGACCTGTTATATACCCTTGTACTTCCATCTGCGATTGTGGACTGCGTGTTCACAGGCCGTTAGGTAGGAAATTGCGTGTTATCAACCTCGCAAAACTGTGGGCTATACAGATACAACTACCGTAGGAAGGAACTGTGCTGCTCGCCTATATGCTGTGTCGGCCAAATCCCTTTGCTGGAGAAGAGACGGTGAAATGGCCAGACACAGATGCCGAACAACGATAGAGTGCGAACATATCACAAAACTGGGTACGGAATACGAATTCAGTAGATACGCACCGATTTGCGTGTCAGTTGCCCTTGCGCTCGGTCCGCACCAGTCCGCCCATGCACGTGTGTACAGATCAGTCGATGCAAACTGCCGACAGCCCGGTCGCAGCATCTCATTTGATTACGGGACCATCAAGTCGGTGTACTGCATCCACCATGAGGATAAGCGACGCCTGCTGTAATAAAGCAGGGCCTACTCGTTTGGTAACAAAATTGCCGCAGTCGTATTTCGGCACTAGCCCTCTCAACAGACCGCCGCTCAAGACGGCTCTCTATAACCCAACGCGGCCACCTTCAAACCTGTATTTCGGTTGCGCAGACCCCTTTTGTCGCTTTACTCGCAAGCGCGTCACACCGCGTCCGTCATTCGCAGCCATGCACCTGTGGCTGCCTGGTTATCCAGACACAGTACCATCGTATGCCCGAGCGTTGGTAGGTCCTCCAAAATCTTGGGCTGCGCCAGTGCCGAACTAGCCATAAGGTCGCTCAAGTCGTATCGCACTACCTTGTTCGCACCCCCCCCCAACTTGTGCCGTTCGCAAGGCATGCCTTTACGTACATAGTAGTCCACTTACGCTCACTGAACCCTCCACCTAGTCGCAGTAAGTGTTTGGACAACCTAGTGTTTCTCAGATGCATCGGGTTAGGCACCGTTGTTGGATGGAGACTAGAATGCCCACGCGTCCCCATCACACCTCACCAACTCATGCATCCATGCAAGGGTTATTATCTCTACCGTCATCGGCTAGCTCAAATCCAAGGTTAGTGCGTGCGCTTGGTGCATCGAAATACTACTGGATGTAATTCAAATGCGTTAAACATGATGTTTATTTGTCTTCCGGATGCAAATCATAGCCTTAGGGTGCATCTCAATTGCACTGTGGATGCAATCCATCGAGAAAATTTGTTTATTGCTGCGCATACTACTGAAACTGCTTCTGCAATTGCATGGTGATTTTATGTGTATTTTCTATTTGGCTGGATTGTGCTAATCCCTGGTTTCGCCGCAATATCTGCCTTGCTGCGTAATGTATATGCTTTGTTGTTTCACACCCAAGCGCTCTCCCTTTGCTTATAAATATATATATATATATATGTATATTTATATATATCGGCCTCCGGTTCGTATTTGCCTGACACGGTGTCCTTCACGGTGGGTCACCTGACCGCTGTGTTTACGTCGGGACCGGGATTGACTTGCGCTGCACCTTCCACTGCTCCAACCACGCCCCTCATATCCAATGTAAACCCATTGGAATATGTTCGGGAGACATGTGGCTTGGAGGCACGTTTCATCAAAGGAGCCGGCTTGCATTACTTTAAGGGCATCACAGGAACGCTGAATTTGGGGAATGAGGCGCACACAAGGCAGTGGCTGAGTTGTTGTCTGCTCTACACTGAGTACATGGAGCTACTCTTCGATTCTGGGACTGCGACGAAGGCGTGCAACGACGTAGTAGCTCCTGGTGCCGGTGTAGACGAAGTGGTGGGTAATGGACAGGTAGGCACTTTGTCAACATGCACGTCAAGCGCACCCACACCGGGGATGTCAAACGACAACCAATTTTTTGAAACGCCGATACCAAGTAAAATAAATCGGATAAGGCATTTTGATATGCCGACATAAATGTTTGTTAACTGAAGATATCAAGTAAATTGGTTATTAGCGAATCCGCATCAAGTACAAAATGTCTTTAGATTGTTTAAAAGATTTTGTTAAGGTGCTAAAGTTACCGAAGTTTGCCACAATTACCCTGACCGACGTGTGCAATGAGTAGATTAGTCAGGTTTTCAGAACAAGCCAGCTATAGTGGACTACATTTTCACCGGACCCTAATCGATTCTACTCGCCACTTTCCTATTCCCACCACGCGAAGTGTCTACTATGATTAATCGTTTGGCTTTGTACATTAGCATCTCCTTATTCGCGCTTCAGTGGATCGGTTCTTTTAGCCCCAAGAATTTCACCTACTCCAGGATGACGAATGCAAAGCGCAGCGTGTTTCGGGTGACGACTGTTTCTGCACATTTTCACTTTGACGACTACTTGCACTAGTATACTTCGAGGGCATACATGTTAATTTAGAAACCAGTTATAAATGACTTTTTCACAGTAGCACTACGCCCCACTTAGGTAGTGGTTTTATCACTTTATGCTCTTTCCAACACCAACGAAACATTCCGTTTGAACTACTGTTTTGATGGAGGACCGGTCGACGCAACTTGCGTCAAGTCCTCTGCTTCACCATGTGTAACTACACTTTTCAAGGCCACTGTTACCTCGGTAGATCACCTCCTCATTAAGGTCAGAATCATGCACAGCTGCTTAGTTCTCATCTTTTAATACCAATCTGTACAATGTTGCCTTTTTCTGAGACCCACCCTTCACTCTTGAGTAGCTCTTGTCTCAATTGACCTTTTCGATCTATCTATCTATCTACTGACTACTAATTCTCTCCAACAGTCAGTCAGTGGTATCGTGGGGCTTCTTTTGTCATTTCGGCTTTCCTTTTGAATTCTGTAGTGCCTAGTATGGTTTACTTTCGCTAAGTGAATTATGTAGCTTGTTTGTACACACACTTGTCGAGTTGTCTTGAATCGCCTAGACTGCAGAAATCCTAATCAATCCCCTCATCTTTGTATCTGATCATTTCATCATCCATGTTTTGAGCGTTGGGTGTACAAGCGATCTTTCATTTGCTCCTTCTGTTCATTTTCTTCTCCATATTCAGCAGACACTCATTTATAGCCCTGCAAGGCAAAATCACCTAAGGATATCTGTTTGTGACAATATTGCGCCCTCTCGGCAGTCTCAACTTTCGGTAATGGACCACGTACCTCGTTGTGTTCCTACTCGCATACCATATCCGTTACCATTCATCAGGTCTTCACACAGAGGTTTTGAAGTTTGTTCGAACAGTCCACTCGACACTTAAATCATTAGAAATGTTTTTAGTCTCACGAAGCTGGTCGCTTACTGTCGCCCATCCCACTTCATTAATGTTAACCACTCGTCTCTTTCACTGTTGCTTCTCCTACAACTTCTCAGTTTTATGTTCCTTTCCTGCAGTGCAACCACCGTAAAGCAGGTGAAAGGCCATCGACATTTTATGCGGAATCGTTCCGTTGGTGCTGCTGATCCTGTGATGGTCAAATCAAGCTCAAGACGTTCCAAACATTCCAAGTCAAATACAGACATTTGTGACGGTATTCCATTCACTTATTTAAGTCGACCCCATTCAGAAGGTGAGCACCCATTGATTGATGTATTCCACTCTCCAACTGAGCCATTTGCATGGCCAGTCGTAAAGAATGCAATGTTGTCGGCATAGCGGAGCGACTGTTAGTGAGGTATTTGGTTACTTTAATGCGCTGTATGTGTATATACCAAGTATGGCTGAAATTTCTAGCATCAAGCTATCCACACTAATCACCTCCTTTCTCAGCTGTTATTAACTCTGATCTCCTTCATTTCTCGATGTGGCCCTCCTTGCTGATACTTTATAGAGAAGCCAATGCACGCATGTTCTTTCCCTCTCGCCGCCTAGAACTACGACTCCTCGGAGTCTTAAATCTACGGGATGCGGCTACCAGTATGGATTCCCCTAATCACCACGGCTCCTTTATCAACGGAGGTCAACTTGTGTCGCCACGCAAGTCTCAATCTCCCATTCATACCGATTCGGAATACTTAGCGGGCGCAAGTACACGTGCGCCGGATGATCGATTCGCCATCTCAGGTACCACTACTCCTAATTTGCGCCGCTCTCCTGGAACACAACGTGCCAGGCACTTGAGTAACGTTCCTCGCGCCAGTGCTTTCGGGTGTGTGGAGTCGTACAAAAAGCTGGATGTGCTTGGTGAAGGATCATATGCCACAGTGTATCGTGGCTACTCTCAGTAAGCGTGTCATTCATGGCGCCGTTCGTACTTTGCTTCTCCAACTCACTTACTCTGCTGATCTTGTGGATTTTACTATTCTCACCGAATGTTCGGTCCTGTGGATACCCAAAACCAACCCTGGCGCTCCATCGAAAGCTTCTAAGCGCTGTCACATCTTTTGCAGCCACCATTGTCTCTTTCGTAGTCACGCTTTAAAGCATTTGGCCTTATTTTGTTTCATCCATAAATGTTTATGCACTGTAAAACGATTATCGCGGCTTGTTTGACAATTGGTAAGCGAGAGTCATTACCTTCGTTTCTCCTCAGGTGACACAACTCGGCCCCGGTTCATCCAGGTGTTGCTTGCTGTATGTGCAAATATCCTTCAGGATGTATGTGTATGTGTGTAGTGCACGATGAAATTGACAAAAATGTGACACCACTATCGGACTTTAACTGGGCCAGTTTTTCTCCTGCAGCATACCCCTCACTCCGGTCACATCGGAAACGGCTACACTCAATCATGTGTTCTCTCCTGCTCCCCCAATCGGATTTCATTCACCTAAATTGTTTCGGTACCCACAGCCAGTTAACTGTGTTTTCCAATTAGCCGCGATCGTGCATTCGCTTTGAGACAACTTTGATGTCACTATGTGTAAAGTGGTCAGGGTAATTAGTTTGTGAATGTAGATTTTCTAGCTACTTGTTTAATCCCGTTGGTGTCCACTGACACTTAACAGTTTAACCAATGCTTTTTAGTACGGGAAACAAGTATGAAGGCTTATTTCGTAATAATTCCTATACCAGAACGAGTATCGCGTTTTTAGCATGTTCACTGTAACGTTTGCGTCCCGATAATCCAATGAGGGTTCCCACATGATTGATGCACCTTCTCTGTTTACTCTTTTCACGGTCGTCTCTTAGCGTAATGGGTCGTTCTGTGGCAGTGAAAGAGATTCGCATCAATCCAGAAGAAGGATTGCCCTTCACTGCAATACGCGAAGGTAATGCACTTCTTTGTACTCCTTTCCTCCTCATTTCTTATTTCATAGTTTGATGATCAGGGCATCTCACGCAGTGTTTTGAATTATAACCAACATTTTTTGTAAATACGACTAATGACCTGATCCCAGAGAATGTTTCTCTCATCATCAATCTTATCTCACTCATATCCTTTCTTCAAAGTCCTCCAACAATAGTAAGGACCGACTCTTAGTGGTGATAAATTATGTATTGTCTAGAAATTTAAATACCAAGCAGCTATATTAGCGCTTGTGGAATGGTGGATGAGATCGCGAGCCTTATAGCTAAAGCTCCTGGTACTTTTGCTGATCTTCGCAACCTATGTCACTGGCACGACCTCACTTTCATCCTAAACGGCAGAGTTTACAATGCAGCCGTGCGTTCAACCTCCTCGTACGGCTCCCAGGACTGGCCCATCAGATCGATAAACATGCAGAGGTTAGTTATATTCGAACATAGCTATCTTCGCACTTTAGCCCATGTCTTGCGGGAACATCATGTGAGCAGTGAGCTTTTCCGACGTCGTGTATTTGGTACAGGAAAAGGGCGTGAACCGTCCAGCACCACTACATCATGCGCTATGCTCCGCTGAGCCACGTGTTGCCCAGGCCAAGATACCAACTCTCGTGTTTTGCGTTTGCGCTTCCGAGATGTGGATGGCATAAGAAAGAAGGGGAAGCCGACCGATGACTTGGTTAAGAGGATTGCAGGCTCTGCCCTCGTAGTTGGCCTCTGAGGGAGCCTCCCGGGTTGGGATCTGAAACACCTTTTGCTAGTTGCACTTATTGTCATGGATGGAACTGACCTCAGTGGCGTTTGTGTTGTACGTTTCGTTTTCCCCTCTCCGACTTATCTACCCCTTCTAACCACGATCTCATTCCGGCTGCCTAATATTATATTAGTTGTCTTTGGTTTTTATTTTGCATTCAATAATGCTTGGTACCCCGCTTTTTCATAAACATTATCTTTTGTATTGCGGCACCCTGTTTGATGTGTATCCACCTTAGCGATTTGTGTCCTGGCGGTACTTATAAGTACCACTTTGTTTAAATGGTAATATCGCTTCACTGCAAGTGTCATTTCTGTCAGCACTCACAAGGATACGTACAACAGCCTTCTGTCAACAATTAAGTAAGGCCCACAACTCCGATAGGTTGTTCTACAGTGTGTGGAGTAAACTATTGTGGTTCATCTCCGGCAATAGATAAATTAATTCAAGACTCAAATGGTTAACAGATGTGTATTAATGATGCTGCGACTGCGGAAGAGACATTTTGTTGTTTTGCTCAGCAATTATGTGACCACCTGCTTTTTTACTTTAGCTTCTTTACTGAAGGCTTTGCGACATGCGAATATTGTCATTCTTCATGACATCGTGCACACGAAGAACACACTCAACTTTATTTTCGAATTTGTGGTGAGTTTGTCTCTTCAGTGACATTTATTGTCGTTCTAACTGCATGCCTACCAACGTTTCCTTTATTTGCTTCTGCTACCGCATTTACAACTGTGTCTTTGCCAAACGTTGCCACTTGTTCCTTCTCACATCACCATCCCTTTGGCTCATTTCATCCATGAACACGTTACTTCTGGGGAAAACCATACCGTTATGTCATCTGCACCGCTGCAGTACGAGCTTGCAGATGTAGAGAATCAGAATGAGAAATGGATCGAACATAAAACCTGAATGCTCTAACGAACCACTTACAGTCAATGCGGTATCGAGGATACAGTTTTCTTACGACTTTCATTGCCCCGCATCATAGTCAGCCTTTCTGCACTCATAACACAGCATAGTATATATTGTAAAAAAGGAGTCTGACCGTGAGACGACAGCAGCCTGAAAGGCCAAACAAACTAACTGAACACAGTTTGATCTCTAATGGCCATTTAATACCAGAAGTGTTGTAATCCGTTAACTGTCGCTAAATCATTCAGCAGTTGTCGTCCCGCAACTCCATCTACATACTGTGCCGACGATCAAGCCGAAACCGCTCGAGAAAGAGGACAAGTGGCCTTGAATTATAGCAGTTTCTTCCAGCGAGTCAAATGATGCCAAAATCTTTCATTTTATTTATGGTTTTCCACTGATTACATAGAACTTGTTAACACGGCGAAGGTCGCGGTGCTTAAAATGATTATTAACTAGTCAGATTTAGAGAGTGATTTCGGGCATTTACCATTCACTTAGGTCATCGAAGGCTACCTCAATCGATTCCTTAAGGTCTGTTTTCTTTAACCTATCCTCCTGAATGTATCGCCTATGTTTTCAGCTTGGGATTCACCTCTATCGGAATCACTTGTTTTCGACACTGATCCGTCCATCTCGGTGCTTTTTCCGGTATAATATGGGAAGCTGAGTTTCCTGTTTGTATGTTGAGACTTCTGAACTGACATGGAATGTGTCAAAGAGCATTTCTAATGAAAACGGCCTGCACATTGAGGATGCATCCAAAAATACTGGACTCTAACCTGTAAGCCTAACGAATCCAAACCTTGAACTCAACAACGAGGTTGTACGTGACATTTCTAGCCCGGCCAATGACACGTCCTGGTACCCACGTATCCTGATTATTACGGTAGTCCTTTTAGGAAAACCCGGTTTCGCGCACCGTGTCCCCTGTTGAATTGCTTTTCTATTTCGCAGTTTCGATTCAAGCTGTTAAGTTCAGCACGTTTAAGCAGATAGACGTTGGATCGCAATTTCCGTTTCATGATTGCTTCAGTCGGAGATTTGCCTTGAGGTACCTGCGGATATGGAGTAATCCTATAAGCAACTAGAAAGGTCTTAAGCATTTCGGCCGTCAATCCCTCCCTGTGCTCACTTTAAGATGTGCGCAAGTCCTTATTCTAGACCGTTCGACTGTGGACGAGATGGACGTGACCACATATGAGCTATGCCGTTTTTATCGCGGAATCCCTCGACGGTCGCTGAAGCGAACTGCGTTCCATGGTCAGTCACCGGTGTGTCTAGATACCCGAACCGGCTGAAACCTTGTCGAAGTTCGGTCATCATCATTACAGATTATCTGAAAACGATAAACCCACATTAACTTTTGTGCCGAAATACCAAGGGATAAGATATATGAACATTCCGCAATACTAAACAACAACAGGTAGCATACTGCTTAGTAACATCCTTTGTTTCAAGACAGAGACCGTGGTTGGGGGAGGCTAAACGGGATAAGGAGGGATAAAGAAACACACAAAACAACGTCATTGAGGTCGTCTCTTCGCTGTGTCAACAATATGTCCAACCGAACGTGTCCATCTTTTTTCGGACCCCAGCCCGGCAGTCGGGAGACACCATCATCATCATACACTTTAGCTAGAGGTGGGAAACACCTCAGCTACTGTGCCGCAATACACAGAAAAAGGAGAGAGAAAAATGCACCTCATGCAAGCCGGCTGAGCTACCGGTAACGGATGGGCATCGTTCCAAACAGCTACCAGCCAGCTACTGTTCATCAAAAAATTACCATGCAAAATTATATAAGGCTAAGTAGTGAGATCGTTGTTGGAGGGCGAGGCTAAGAGGGATGGGGTGGGACAAAGAAACTCACACTCTTGACTAAGTCATCGCTTAGCCTCCCCTACTCTTCCTCCATCCACACCTCAGTGACGCCGACAACGTACGACGCAGGAGTCGATATGCTGGCATGTGCAACACGTGGCACAGCATCGGAGTCTGGTGCTTGATATGATGGTGCTGAACGATTTACTCGCTCTTGCTGCACCAAATACACGACACCGATTCGGTCATACTTACTGTAGTACATGAATACTTGCTTTAGTGGTCAATCAGATCAGTGGTCGATCAGATCCTGCACTAGTGATATGCAGCCTTGGTCTGGTTTTCTCAGGATTTGACCAACACTGAAGCTCTGTCTTAGGGCATTTAGGTGGAAGTGCGCATTTCGAGCTTATGATCTGTGCCTTCCCACGGTTTATTCCTGAATATCCGGTATGAAACTGCTTTAGGACACTCGTTTTAAGTTCCTTTGGGACCACCACAGTTTCTACGAACAGCAGGCAACCATTGACAATCGAGATGGAGTTGCGAAGTTGTTTAAACTGGTTCGGTTCATTGTCTTCGATCTTCTGTAGTTAATTTGACTTATGGAAGGGAAATACTTGCTGCAACTAGGGGCGACTTGATGTCGCAGCAAGTATGACCGAACCTGTTAATTAGATAGTTTTTGCGTCCGCCATAATGCAAAGAATTTCAGACTCACTTGAAGTCCTGATTCCTATCTATCCCGCTACATGAGACCTGGTAGAGTTCAGCCTAACCAATCTTTCCAGTCGATTTTTACTTGATTTCGGAATTGTATCCCGAAAGCACTTTGACTCATCTCCGAAGACAACTTGCTGAGTACATGGGACTGTCCTTCTTCGGAACGAATATAGCAAGTAGGCTCTTATGATCGATGACCATGTAGCAATTCCTAGCGTTTTTTGATGACGTACATGACTGCTGGTGCTTCTTTATCACTTTAACTGTGGCTGCGCTCTGTGGTCGTCAAAGAACCGGCAGCATGAGCATTTCCCTCCAAGTGATTACGCAGCCGGATGATATGTATCACGACGGTATCTTGTGTACCGAAGAGCCGAACTGTCTCGGGAGTCCCAATACATCTGCTGAGTCAATACTGTTGAGTCGTTCACCGCTCTAATGTGCGATTTGCAGCCCCATATTTTTAGGCTATTGGTGACCCTAGTTATCGATTGCGAACGCCTGCCGCTGGACATTCAAAACAGCTGACCGTAGCTCTAAACCTACCCTAGTAGCGCACGGGCTTGGCCATCTATGATATCAAATGACTATTGATTTATCCAAAACTTGCATAGTTGTAATTGGTATGAATTAATGAATTGACGAGATCGTCTCACAGACTGATTCTTATGAATTTTCCTTATGGACTTGCCTCAGTTCCGTTAGGAACGTGGTAGCAGACAACCGCACCAACTCCGTACTTCGGGACATTCGTGGTAATAATGATACGCAATTTCGGATCAGCAGCATGTCTGACGATAGCAAGGTTTCGATTCTGTCAAAAGCTCAGGGTGTTAGGTTGGCGTGTGTTTAGCGCAAACCCTAGTCTTGACAACTAGAACAACTATGTTGTGCAGCGTAATGACTGTACCATACTTGTCTGTGCATACAGATTACTACAAAAACAGCACCTAGGGGAAAGGTTTTGTACTAGAGAAAAGCTTCTGTACCAACATGTGAACAGCCTTCGGAAAATGAAGCGCGCTGTTTGCCCACTCATCTCAGCAAACTGATTTCTCGAACCGCCGAGGATGCAGCCAGTGCTTTACGGCTCCAATATGGTTAAATATTCCGACTCACCACCAGTATGTGTCACATCTCAGTCCCATTCTCTCAGACGCAGTATGTACACACGTCATTTTTAGTTCTACGATAGACAATACTCCTCCGAAAGCACTGCAGGTGGCAACGAAGAAGATAGCTAAGCCAATAACCCGATTCTTTCAAAGATGCCTGAATAAACAGCAGGATCCTAACTTGTGTAATCATGGTATGGTTACCCCGATTTTCGAAGTAGTAAGTAAAAAGTAAGACCTCAGCATAACGTCGGTACACAGTAAGGACGCTTCGTTACAGCACAACCACCACCGGTCCCACACTGGCTACGGATAGTGCGAGGGTCACTCGGTCCCTACTCAGGCTCGAACCTGCGCCCCCAGATTACAAGGCAGCCATGTGGTCCTTATGTCTCCGGGCCGGCGACCCCCATTTTCGTTGGTGGTATATATATATATGTATATAGTATGCTTACATCCGTATCCGGATTTGCCTGTCGTGGCTGTGGCCTCCACGGCGACAGCCACAGAACGCCGGCGCCTACAAAAGGACCATGGGTGGCTTGCGCTGCACCACCCACAGCTCCAATCACACACTCCATATTCAGTGTAAACCCGAAAGAATAGAACCAAGTGGCCTGTCGATGGCAGCCACGTTTCATCAGCGGAGCCGGCCCACACTCCTTCAAAGGCAAACACGGTAACGCTGAATTTGGGGAATCAACGCACACAAGGCGATGGTTAAGCCGTAGCCCGCTCCACACGCAAAACATGTGCATAGAACCACTTTTTGAGCCTAACACGCTCATGAGGACCGTACACCCCGTCCCCTCCAGCAACGACCAACTATCTCCTGGATCCAGTATAGGCGAAGTAGTGGGTAATAGACAAGTAGGCACCTTGTCAACATGCCAAGCAACAGCCAATTACTTGCAACGACGATATCAAATAAATAAATCGAATAAAGCATACGGATACGCCGACTTAACTCACCACCAAATTAGCATATGAAATAAACTGGTTATCAGAATAACCGCGATAAATTTAAGATGGCAGAGAAAAAGATTAAAAAGACATGCAATAAAC